GCGGGAGGGAAAGAATGAAAACAGCTGGGTCAAACAGGGAGAGGTTTAATAAGGGTTTTGTAGAATCTTACTTGAGACCACTAAGGGGTATGCCTGCCAAAGGTTATCAAGTCCAGGGCGCAGTCTAAGTCAAACTGGACTACCCCAGCATTCCCTACATTCTTACATTTAAAAGCACAGCATTTTCAAATGATAAATAATGAAAAGAATTCTCTATGTTTGTTTACAATATATAAACGTCATTGTCTATAAAATGACACATATAATGGATCATGAGTATTAAATAGAGTCAGCACTCCTAGTGGACCAGCAGGAATTTTAGCCACTCCCTCAGGTACAGGTGAGAAACCTGAAGCCCAGAAAGATTGACTGCATTTTAAAAGATTTGCCAAACACAAAATGAAAAGGATTATGTCCCAAACCACCAAGACACTACGTATCCAAATCCATGTAACCGATGCCACCATGGCATACATTTTTTCCACTAAAACCCAACCACAATTATTCTTATTTCTGACAGTATTCATTGCTGTACAATCTATAACAATGAAAGGATTTAGGGCAGCTCTTGAAGTTTATAGTAATGAAATATGACCTGTAAATCTCAAACTCTCAAAAAAGAAAGTATCTTATCACTTGAGAAAATGTTGAGCTTCTTGGAGTTTTTTTACAGATCCTGCCCCAATTGTGAGTGGACCCCCTACAGGAGGGCCAAAGTGGGGGAGGAGGAGGGGCTCTGCAGGAGACCAGAAGCAGAGGGATGTAGAGACCTAGCGCAGTACAGACCATCTACACGAGGAATGACACTCTGCATTTAAAGATGCAAGCAGCATTTCAGCAATCACAAAATGCACAACTGTTAATTATGAAAGGTCCCTACCCTGACCACCCTAATGTCACTTTGTACTTTACTGTTTCCCTTTGTATTCAGGTATATTTCTACTTTCTATCAACTTTTGCCTCTGATAACTTAACTGAATTTCTAGTTCAAGTCCAATAGAAGGAAATGTAGTTTAGGCATTTCCTGGTAAATGTGGCCAAATTCAGTGACTTCTCATTATTTCTGTTGCATCTTCCATCAGTTAAGCGCTACATCCCCAGCCTTGCTATGGACGGTCTGGGGCCATGAATCTTTGGAAGTGGCTTACAGAGCTTAGCACTGTGGCTTGTTCGCATGGACCCCAGCCTTGCCCTTTCAGTGCTGCCTTTCTGCCTTTTCTCCTGGTGCTTCCACAGCTTGTGGGTGGCTGGACCACACTCTCCACGTACTCTAGGGTCTACCTGGAAACAAGCCCCAGCTCATCATGGCTTTCATAGCATTAGAAGGGAGTGAAGTCTGTCCTGTTTTCTCTGGAACTTTGCTTGCATCAAAAAAATCCCTACATTGTCTCATGCTTTGTTACACCATGCCTCAGCTCAGAGAATCCCACTCTGGCTTCTTAAATCTGACAGGCTGACATCTTTGGTGAGGTGCCACCCCAGGACCAGTGCCTACTTTAGGGCATCAAGTACAGAATGGGGGACATTAATACATTTGAAGGGAAAATGCTTTAATATTTATTAACAGCTGCCACCTTTGTACAGAAGTATTTTGCTGCTGAGCTATTCCACTGGCCATTTTTAGTGACTACAAGATGGTCATTCCCCTAGGTGGCTGTAACATAATTTAGTTAATCATCCTTCCTTCATTGACATTTATTTCAAATTTTTAGCTTTCAAACATAGCATTGCCATAAGAGTTAATGAATTTTGAAAGAAAGACTTACTTTAACAAGAAACTTGAGAATACAGTTTATAAAGTTGTTCTGAACACAAGTGGATAATGCTATTGCCTGTCTGTTGGGCATATCCTGCTTTTAATATCATGAATAATTTTGCACAGTGTGGGCTCAGGGTCTTCCCTTAATCTCATTGCTGCCATCTGTATAACCCCAGTGTTATGAGGACCCAGTGTTTCAGGAGGGGACTAGAACTTCTGCAGCTGTTGAGTGCATGGCTTGAATCAAGGAGCTGATTGGACGTGTCTGATGTGTAGTCTTTGGCTTATATTCATCCACATTCTTACGGCCCGAAATTCCCGAGCCCTTTCTCAATCGCAGTGAGAAGTCTAAGTAGCTCATTTTTTGAAAGCACTCATGGAAGATATGCCTGCACGCGCGCGCGCGCGCACGCGCGCGCACACACACACACACACACAGAATTTCATACACTATTTCTAAAAGAACATGGAAGAAACTGGCAATACAAGTTGCCCTCAGGAAGGAGAAACAAGCCTGGAGACAAAGGACTGAAGGAATTTTTTCACCAGATAAACTTCTACCTCTTAAATTTCATACTATGAGCGTATGTTACCCATTGGAGAGTGTAATTTATTTGGTGGATCCTCAAAACACTAAACAAAGAATAACCATGTGACCCAACAATCCCATTCCTGAATATATATCAAACAGAACTGAAAACTAGGACTCAGGCTATCAGCCAAGGACAGTAATATTATTCACAATGGCCAGAAAGGAGAAATGACTCGAGTGGCTATCAGCAGATAAATGTGGTATAAGCATAGCATGGAGTGTTGTTCAGCCATAGAAAGGAAAAGAATTTTGAGACAGGCTACCACATGGGTGCACCTTGAGGATTTTATGCTGTCACATAAGTCGTACACAAAACGAAAATTTGTGTGATTCTACCTATATGCAAATTTTAGAACAGGCAAATTCATAAAGACAGAAAGTAGATTAGAGGTTTCCATGGCTTCGGGGAAGGGAAATGGGATAGTTATTATTTAATAGTCACAGAATTTCTGTTTCAGTTGATGGGAAAGTTTTGGAAATAGTCTTGATGGGTGCAAAACTGTGTGAATGCAATTCATGGCCCTGAACTATATACTTAAAGATGGATCAAATGGCAAGTTTTTGTTTGGTTTACCGTAGTTTGGTTTGCTGTTGTTTTGGTTGTTATTGTTGTTTTATGAGATGGGGGCTATTAAGTCTCCAGAGCTGGCCTCACTTCGCTATCCTGCCTTAGCCCCCCAGGGGCTGGAATTGTAAGTACAGCCCCTACACCCTCACACCTGGCTATCTTTTATATTTTTTTGCCACAATACAGATTCAAACAAGATGTAATTTAAAGAAAAAGCTTCCATGGAGCCTAACTTCTTCTCTACTGGTGCCCAGGAGCAAACGTTCTTCTCACTGACCCTGTCCCCCAGAGTGAGCAGTCCTGAATGTGCATTGTCCACTAGGGTCCTCTGCTTGGCACTGCTCAAAATAGGAAGATATGTGCACACCCTTCCTGAGTTTCAGAGGAGCTTATCCCAGAGCCAGCAGCAGATGTGGGTATCACTATCATGTAAAGCACAAAGAGTGCCAGATAGTCTTCCTGGCATGTGCGGTGCAGTGCGCAGGCAGCAATGACCTCATTCTGACTGAAGGCCCGGGTGGCTGGAGGGAAGGAGTAGCCTTTAAGGGTGGGGTGCACTCAGCCTGAGAGCTGGTGGGCCGGCCAGGCCTCTTTAGCAGGGAGGAGCCTCTGAACAAAGGGCCTTCATTCTCTATCACTGGGGTGGGGATGGGAGGATCATACCAGATGGAAAAAGATTCTGGAAAGGCAGATGAGGCCAAGTGATGTCAATTCCTAAATGTCCAGTTTAACCTTTAAACTGGCTGTGGGAAAACAGCTTAGGTATTCTTTCTGTTCTTTTTCACTCTCCCGTTTACCATTTAGAAATTGTGCCTTTTATCCTTATCAAGCAGAAACTTGGACAGTTTACATTATATTGTTTTCTTTCCAACTCAAACTGTGTTTGCCATCTAGTGATTAATCCACGCCATTACAACAACCTACTTAAAATGTCTTGTTTCTCTGGCTCGCAGCCTCCAAATCCCGAGTTGCCCACAGCCACTTCTGCCCTTAACTCCACATTCCGTGCATACCCTGATATGCACATGGATGGCCCGGGTCATCCGGAATGAAACTGGAACTCTCACAGTAGTTCTAACAGTCACATGAGAGAAAGAAAGGTGTTGAGCTTAGAAATTAAATAGTTTAAGTAGGATCAGACTTGAAAATAAAGCAGAAAGTGAATACGGAGCTCTCAGGCATCCTGGTGAGATTTGTTGACTGCAAAGGGTGCCACGTTCCTGTCCAGGCTTTCTCTTCCTGTGTGTGGTATAAATGGAGACAGGGATTTTAACAGTTCAGGGCTTTAATTTAGGGGTGCTAATTAAAGCGTAATTATTCAGATTTCTGAGGTTCTGAGTACATGTCAAAATAGAGGCTACATTTTCTTCTTTTATTGTTGTATCATTAAGTACAGTCTTTTTCCTTCTAAAGATGTCATTAGTTGGGAGAGTGGAACAAGAAATGTTGTATTACATGTGTAGGGGATATAAAACTACACATTAGTCACTCCAAATTCTTAAAGAGCCTCAGGAAACATTTTGCAGCTGAAACCTTAGAATTCTTAAACACAAACTCCTGTATTGGAGAAGACACTGACTCCAGTGCGTCTTTTTTGCCCAGGGATCTGGGCTGTGGGAATTTATTTATTCAGCAGTTAGATACTGAAGGTCTGGTATTTGCGAGGCTGTGAGATAGGTAGTGCAGACATAACGTTATACATCTAACTAGTGTGATAACATCTTTTTTGAAACTGTTATAACCCACTCCCTGCACCCTACTTCCATGAGATCTAAGGAAGGCTTTCTTACACTGAATTTTATTTTTCAAAGGCTCTGCCGAAGAGAGAAAGTTAGTACGGCTCCCACTTTGCTGCCAAGTTGAGCGTATTGTTTGGGTTATGAATTGATAGCCTGGATGCAGCCTCTGGTCTCCAGCCCAACAGCACCCCAAGCACTGAAAGGGGAGAGAATGTTTTGTGGGAAGCCGTTTACTCCGTCTTTAAAGCCATGTGAACTGCTTGGCTGTTGTTTTAACTGGCACTTTACCATTTTTTGTTTTTGTTTTGTTGTGATGAATTTCTGTGCATTTGACTTTTACAGGGAAGGCCGGAGGTACCGGGTGTATGTTGTGATACCACTGCTCCCGGGATTTGAAGGAGACATTTCAACTGGAGGAGGAAACGCTCTACAGGCCATAATGCACTTCAACTACAGGTGCCAAAATACAAAATAATCTATTTTGAGCTGCATGGAGCTGGGGAAGGGAATGGCAGTGTTTTATGCATCCTTTCAGTGGAGCTTCGTTTCTCTTTATTTTACTTTCAAATCTTACCCTGTTTACTAATTGATAAAATTCAAGCAGAGTTTGAAATAATAAACCATGGGCTTAAGATACATGGCTAGTATAAAAGAACCAAAATATTGGTTTATTTTATATATTTATTGCTTGTCATACATATGTAATATTGGTTAAAGAATATCTTTAAATCATTAAATAATAGCTGTTTTCCATATTCTTTTTGTTAGATAAAATTAAATGCCTAAAACAGTATGCTATGTGTGCATTCTATTATGATTCTTTAGGTAGCAGTCTTTAGTAAGGTTGGCACTATCAACCTTGGTTAGAAAATGAAAATTCCTATCTCCTGGAATTTTAATTTGATTTCTCTACTATATCTTAAACATCTCTATTAGCTGCCATCATTTTAATGTTGTTAAAATTCTAAAAAAGTGGTGAACCCTGTGCTTGGAATTTTAAACACTCAAGTTACATACTCTCTCAGAAAGCTACACTTGGGTCCCCCTGAGTTTCAAGCCACATGGTGACAAGGTGGGAGGTGCCTGCCAAGTACGCAGTATAGAAAGGGACAGAAGGCACCCCCAGACTGCTCCATGGTCACTTAGCTGGGAAAGAGAGGGAAGCAGAGAGGTGAGTGGCCACAAGTCCACTCCTAATTTCAAGCTCTGCCTGAGAGAAGAGCCCAGCCAGGCTCACATTCCTAGTAAGTTAGAGCAAAGCCCAGGCCAGGAGAGCTGCTTTCACTAGCTCTTGCTTTCTCAAACCAGTTGTAATTTCTTACTGTTTGAATCAAACCTTTTGAGAGGTAGAAGGGGGATGCTAAGATCTTACACAGCACTCTGCATTTGTAGAGCAGAGAAGGGCTCAGGCGCTTGGTCCAGTTGGAGTGGGGCTCAGATGTCCTCCTGCTTGGACTGCTCCCCGGCAGTGGCCCTGAAGGGTCTGAAAGCACAGTCTGAGTCAACATGGGGGTGAAATTGTTTTTTCAGCACTGGAAATTGAACCCAAGGCCTTCACACTAAGCTAAGTTTCTAGCCCTTTTTATTTATTATTGGAATATAGCATCTTGCTCGGTCACTCAGCTGGGCTTAAACTTGCAGCCTTCCTGCCTCAGCTTTTTCAAGCCCTGGCATTTCAGGCATGCAGCACCATACCTGCTTTTGGAGATGTTTTTTGAATCCTCTTGCTTCTGACTAAATTTTCAAGCTTGTATCTGTCTATCTCCCAGAGTTTCAAGTAATAGTTTTACTTGTTTATTTTTCCTAGTATGAGAGAACTTTAATCATGCTTTGGTCTATATAATTGGATTGAAGATTTGCCCATTTCTAGTTCTCTAATTTATAACATGACACATAAAACTTTTCAAGTGTGTAGGTCCACTGACATAAAATTTAACTGGATTTTACCTGCTTCATTTGCCATTCTAATATTATTCTTGGAATATTGTCAGCTCTAATTATTTCCTATGACTGTTTTCTTAAGTTTGAACCAGTTGAATGAAATACGTGTTTGGCTTTTGTTCAGCGACCTAAACTATAACCTTTTATTATGCAAAAACATCTCTATTTGCTGCCATCATCTTTAATAATATCATATTAAAGATGTGTTTTCCAGGCATAACTGTATTTTTAATTACTTTCATAGAGCAAACAGATGGAGCATAGAATAGTTTTTTCAGTCTTTAGAATTCATCAACTATTATCAGAGTCTTGAGAAACAAAATCATTAGCAGAGTCATTTGACCCTCTACTTTTAAGGGTGTTTGCTAACTACAGAGACAACCCAATATAATAGTTTCCTTTATCCCCAAGTTACTCTGCTAAAGGTGTGCCCGTTTCACGCCAGAAAGCAACACGTTTCTGAAGTGTTCTTATCTGTTGAGGCATTCTGAATTTATCTTTGCTGTCACCAAATTTGTGAGAAGGAAAGTTCATTCATAACCCATTTTTTAAAAATGAGTTTCTCTTTCTGAAATCAACCATCAGTTTCATAACTTTTCCATCTACTTACTTCAAAACAACTACTTTGTTTTGCTATCTGCATAAGTGATATTCATGGAATTTTTTTTTCTTTTTAAAATGTGCATACCACTTATCATAGCAGCACTTGCTCTGTGTTTACTTAGGCTAGAATTATATGCACAGATATTGTAGTTGGAACTGGTTGTTTTGAAACCTACATAATTATTTGTTTACCTACTTTCAGAACCATGTGCAGAGGAGAAAATTCCATCCTTGGACAGTTAAAAACAGAGCGTAAGTAACTGTTTTTCTTTTCCTCCATGGTTATTTTTTTATTATGAAGATGAGGTACCAATAATCTGTAATATTTTTGCATCATGATTACAGAACTATTCTCAGAAGATTCCCCACGAAAATGATCTACCGAAATAAATTGATAATACTCATTAAATTGCCCAGACCAATGTTCAAATGAAGACACAAAGACTTAGGGTTCATAGGTAATAAAATATGAGTGCCTTCCTAGTTGTTATTTATTTATTTGTTTATATTTATATAATTGCTTTAGTAATAGCAACTAATATTTGTAGGGCAATTCACAAAGACTGTACAAGTATATTCTCTGCTCATTCTTCTCCACCGCCCTAGAGAGCAGGCTGGGGTCACTCATGCATTAAAGAGGTCACTGGTTATTGGCCTCTTTTGTATGTAGAAACACCAGAGTTCTCACAATACTTTCTGGTATTTGGTGGAGAAAAACTATTGCAGAACCATTTAGCACCACTAATAAAGATTCAGCTCATCTTTGAGAATATTTTCCTAAAGGTAGATAAATAAAGTGTGTGTGAGGAAGAGGACCCACAGCAATAACATTTCCTTCTGCTGTTCCTCATCTTTTCAGTCACATTCTCAAATGTCTTAATTGGTCCTCCTCTATAGATCCTGATACAATATGTTGTACTTTCAGCTTTACTCCTCTATACCGTCTGGGATTATCTCTTAAGTTCAGCATGCAGTAGTTGCTCAATGATGTGCCATAAATCTGTCCCATGAGTACAGAGTGTTCCACAGAACTAAGCTGGAGTCAGAACCAACTTGTTTGACCTCCAGATCAGCTTGGGTCCAGAAGGTGAATACGCAGACAACCACAGTCTAGATTTCACCCAGGAGACAGTTGTGGGAGTCTCTGAGCCTGGAGTGACTTCACTAAAGTGGCTTTAGTTTATACGAAGCTTCAGTCCTTAGTAAACAAGGTAGAGGACTGGTGGCACCCAAAGGAGTGTGGGGTGCTGATTATGACAAGGAGAGCTGTGAAGGAAGGTGGGAGTCCTGAGGAGCAGGTGAGTGAAGGAGCATCGCATAATTCTAAGGGCGTCAGTCCCATTGACTGGGGAGAATAGCGCCTCCATGAGGAGGTCTGGAGAAACTGAAGGAGCCATCCTAATCATGAGATGCCACGTGATGTGACTTCACCTCTATAAATGCTTCAGCTGGCTCTGAGGAGAGCTTTTATACTGGCATCCTCCTAAGTGGGGTGCACTGAGGATGTGTCAGAAGGTAGGGAGAAAATAGTAGACTTTCTAGGTATGTACAGTTTTAATTTAAAATTAAAACTAGGAGTTTAAGATTTAAGAATTTAAGAGTTAAGAGTTTAAGAATTTAGGGCTGGGGATTTAGCTCAGCGGCAAAGCGCCTGCCTGGCAAGCGCAAGGTCATGAGTTCGGTTCCTGGTACCGGAGAAAAACCAAAAAAAAAAACAAAAAACAAAGAGTTTAAGAATTTAAAATTAAAACTAAACTTCTAAAATTAAGGAGTTTGGATATCAGGAACAGCAGAGCAAAAATCTCCAGAAATATACTCCTATGTCAAAAGGCAACCCAAACACTGACAAAAATTGTCAAAATCAACTTTTCAGATCCCAGAAAGGAATCAAAGGCTTATAATAGTCCAAAAAGGGTTTAGTCAACACAAACAACTGAATTTTGGTTAAAAGGGCAAGCCTGCGGCACTTTACATGCCACACTACCCTCTCTTCAGCTCCACAGTAGCCTTCAAACCCACCAGCTCATCAGTCAGTGTAAACCAGCAACCCAGCTGCATGCGAGGGAGGAGAGCAGAGGCTCGCTCCGCCCCAGCCCATCCCTAACACTGCTTAGAGTGCTGTCATTATCTGCCCAGTTTGGCAGTTGTTTTGCCATCTCCACTCGAGGGACCTGTATTAATTTCACCTGGCTAGGCTTGCTCAGTGCAAGCCATTTACCCATATGTGTAGAAGACAGTTAGCAACAATTACTTAACGTCACAGCTGCCTAAGGTAGCTGGAATTTTCTTTATAGAAATGCTGTAAATTTCTTTCCTTGTTACAGGTCACTGAAGAGTTTCAATATCTTCTTAGGATCACTGTTAGCATTTTGTTTCTGTGGTTATAAGTTCTGTTTATCAACTTGATTGGGCCAAATAAGAAGTTGACCAATTCACTTAAAGGAAAAACCCAAGGAAGAAGAATCCCGTAGTTGGCATTAAAAACTCTAAAATATTCCTAAAACTCTGAAAGGCCATGCATTTGCAGAGGGCTACATGACTGCCCAAAGCGATGCTCACACTCAGGAAAGATTTGTAAATGCTCTAAGCTCTATCTTCTGGCTGATCTGGAAGCTCAGGGCAAGCAGGAAGGGAAATTTAAAGCAGAATTATGTACTGCATGCCGACACACACACATGCCCTCATTAAAGTACAAGAGACTCATTGGTTCCAGGAATTTAAGAAATTATATATATTCTGTGGCTATAATGAAATGAGATTATAAATATCAAAAAATAACTTTGGTAATTCACAAATCAGTGGTAATGAAACAATATACTTCTAAATAACCAAATAATCAAAGAAGATACTGCAAAGGACAGTGGAAAATACTTTGAGATGAGTGAAGATGAAACAACATATCAAAACTTATGGGACATAATTAAAGTAATGCTTAGAGGGAAATGTATAACTATAAACATTTATATTAAAAAGAAGAAAAATCTCAAACCAGTATCCTAGCCCTACATCTTTTCTATAGGAAATAGAAAAGAAGAGCAAACTAAACCCAAAGCAAGGAAAATGAAAGAAAAAATGGAGATGAAGGGAAAAATCATTAAAAGGAAAACAACAGGGAAAATCAGTGAAACCAAAAATTGGTGCTTTGAAAAAGATTGATGAAATTAACAAATCTTTAGCTAGTCTCAGTAGAAAGTTTTTGTAAGTAAAAAAAGAGCCAACCCACAAATTAGGAAATCAAGACCAGTAAATCTTACAAAAACAAAAACAGTAAGAGAATACTATGAGTAGTTGTATGTTGAACAAAATATATAGAAAAATTATGATTATGATAAAGATACTTTTGTAAGAGTTCTCCAGAGAAGCATAATCAATAGGAGAAAAAGAGGGAGAGCAGGAAAGAAGGAAGAGAGAGAAGGGGAGGAAAGGGCAGAGAGAGAAAGAGAGAGGGACACACACACACACACACACACACACACACACACACACACACGAGGAACAGGGAGGAAGGAAGAACGAAAAGGAATGTTTGAGTTATTCTGAACAACGGACTCACATGATTATAGAGGCTAAAAAATCCTGCAATCCTGCATTTGCTGGCCTTTGAGCTGCAGTGGTATTATCCAATGGTGTAATTTGGGTCCAAGTCTGGATGCCCGAGAAACAACGGTGCCAATGGTATAAGTTCCAGTTGAAGGACAGCAGAGGGACAATATCTTGGTCAAAGCAGGTAGGCAATAAGCAAAAGGGGCAAGTTCCTCCTTCATCTGCCTTTTGCTGTATTCAGAACCACAGTGGATGCCCATCAGTGATGGAAAGGGCCATCTGATTTAACGAATTCTCTAACTCAATGCTAACTTCATCTGGAAATCTGCTTACAGACACACCAAGAAATAATGTTTAATCTGGGCACTCCTTTGCCCAATCAAGTTGGTAAATAGAATTTATAACCACAGAAACAAAATGCTAACAGTGATCCTAGAAGATATTGAAACTCGGAAATGGGGTCTGGGGATTTAGCTCAGCGGCACAGTGCCTGCCTGGCAAGCGCAAGGTCATGAGTTTGATTCCCGGTACCGGAAAAAAACCAAAAACCAAAAAAAAAAAAAAAAAAGAAACTCGGAAGTGACCTGTAACAAGGAAAGAAATTTATAATATTTCTATAAGGAAAATTCCAGGCCTATATGACTTTGCTGGCTACTTCTACCATACACAAAAGAATCACCAACAAGTGTTCACAGTTTTCCCCCACAAAATAAGGAGGAAGGACTACTTCCCTACTCACCTTATAGGACCAGTATTATCCTGATGCACAACCAAAGAAAGGTCACAGACCAATATGCTCTCAGTGAAATAATGCCAAACTGTATCAAACCATATAAAATCAAACCATATAAAAAGATTATGAATCCTGACCAAATGGCACTTATCCTAAGAATGTGTAGTTGATTTAACATCTGGAAGTCAGTGTAATTTACCATGTGAATAGAATAAAGGGCAAATACCACACATGATCACGTCATTAAATGCAGAAACAGCAATTGGCAAAAACTAAAATCTTTCACAGTGAAAGACAAATAAAAAAATTCTACAAACTAGAAATAAATGTGAACTGCTTCAGCCTTATAAAAGGCATCTATAGATATTGTCGGCTGGCATCCTACTTCATAGTGAAAGAAAGCTTGCCCTCTACAATCAGTAACAGGGTCAGAATAACCATTCTCAACAAATATTATAATGGAGGTTTAATTTATATTTTGTTTTATTTACTTACTAGTACATGTTTGCAGTACATAATGTTTATGTTTCTTCTGGGGAATTGGTACATGTTGGTAATACATCTAAATCATTTTTCATCTCCCTTCCCCCTTTTCCCACCCTCGGCCCTCCAGCTCTTGATCCCCTTCCCCTTGGAAAAGATCTATCTCTTTACTTCCCATTATCTAGCTTTTATTTTGCTCTTTATTTATACTTTGGGTTTCTCATGTAACAAGTTTTAGCAGGGCATTTGGGCAAGATATCTAGATAGAGCTATGTCTATATATATGTATATGGTGAAAAGGAGGAGTAAAACTCTTTTTGCATGAATCACTGAATCTTGTGAACAGAAAATCCCAAAGAATTCACACATACATACACAAACATGATTAAAGATAATAGTCAAGATACAAGATAAAGCTATGTTTCAAATACAAGATCAATATACAAAAAAATCATTTCTGTATTCATTGGTGAATAAGGTGAAAATGAAATTA